TGAACGGGAAGCTCACCGGCATGGCATCTGTGTTCCTACCCACAATGCATCTGTCGTGGAGCTGGCATGCCACCGAGTACAATGGCATCAAGGTGGTGAAGCAGGTATCCTAGGGCCACTAAAGGGCATCCTGAGCTGCACTGAGGACCAGGTTGGCTCCTGTGACCTTTGATGCTGGGGCTGGCACTGCCCCAGTGACAACATTGTGAAGCTCATTTCCTAGTATGAAAATGAATATGGCTATAACAACAGGGTGGTGGACCTCATGGCCTTCATGGCCTCCAAGGAGTAAGAAGCCCTGGACCACCAAGATCAGAGAGGAAGAGAGAGAGGCCCTCAGCTGCTGAGGGGTCCCTGCTCCAACTCAGCCCCTGACACTGAGCATCTCCCCTCAGTTTCCATCCCAGACCCCCAGGATAAGGGGAGGGGCTTAGAGAACCCTTGGATACTATCAATAAAGATCTCTGCATCCCCCCCCCAACAAACAAAAACCCAGAAATCCTTGAAAAAAAAAATCAAGCCTTGATAAAAATGTCCTTTCAAATCCATCTTCTCAGTAGTCTGGTTATACTGTCTCTTTGTACCATAGTTTCCCCATTTCTCAGTCTCTAAAACAGTCTCCGAGACCATCTATGTAGCTCTCTCTGCTGGCCTCAGTGAGATCTCTTGATCCTCCAGTCTCAGCCTTCCAAGCGCGGAGATTACAGGTGTGTCCTTCGTAACTTCTACTATCTTTCTGTGTCTGCTTCCCTTGGAGGGCACCCATGGATCCCACAGTCACGCGCTGAAAATCAACTGTGTCCTAAGCTAGCCGGGGTGGCTACTACGGAGACCAAGGCCCATCTAGAAAGTCACTTGCCCAGAATGACACCAAAAGCCCTTACTCTTTCCTGGTACCTGCTCTGCCTTGCAGGACACAGCAGCGGCCACGCGCAGAGAAATGCAGCCAGCGACTCCCCGGGGCCTGGGCAGCTTATCGCGCATCAAGGACAACCTCATCTTTCCTTATTGCTATCACCTATGACGTGGTTTTCATCGTTGTCCCTCTCTCCCTCTGTCTCCCAGGGCTTGTGGGCAGGAAGCAAGACTGGAAGAGAGGACACCCCAAGTGTATCCGGGGACTCAATTTCTTTAAGATTTGTTTTTATTTTTAATTATGTGTGTCTGTGCAAGCGAGGGCCGGTACTCATGATCAGGGTATCAGATTCTCTGGAGCTGGGGTTATGGGCAGCTGTGAGCCATCGGACGTGAACTGGGAAGTGAACTCAGGTCCTCTGTAAGAGTGGTAAGTGCTCTGAACCAGGGGGCCAATTCTCCAGGCCCCAGGGAAGCAACCTACCCCATCTCCTCCCTTCTCCCCTCCCCTCCCCTCCCCTCCCCTCCCCTCTCCCCTCTTCTCCTCTCCCCCCCCCCCCCCCCCCCCCCCCCCCCCCCCCCCCCTCCCCTTCCCCTTTTTTTTCCCCCCCCCCCCCCCCCCCCCGCTTTTTGAGACCGTGTCTTTATAGCCCCACTCGACCCAGAACTTACTCTGTCGCCCACGCAGGCCTCCAATTTATAACAGAGTTTGGCTCCAGTTCCCCTAAGGGCTGGGGTTATAGGTGTGAGCCACCGTGCCTGGCTCTCGGAGGCAATTTTGAGGAGGTGGGTGGATGCTGAGACATTACATTTTTCTGTAAAGGGAGAGTCTGGCATTAGGTAGCTAAGAGGAAGATGTCTGGGTCCAGTTTGTCCCTCCTGGAGAGCGGTGGGGGATCCAGGTAGGCACACGGGAAGTTGACTGCCACCCCCGGCTGTGGAGGGCTTGAGGCTGGGGTGGGGTTAACTTATTCTTACACACCCTGTCCTCCTCTCTCACCCTTACTCTCGGAGATCGGGGGGGGGGGAGCTAGAATGTGTGAGGCTGGCATTTAACTGTAGCCTGCGCACCTTTGAGAGAAGGGGGCTGAAGCCAGAGAGGGTGGGCACGGCTGGCACCGCCAGGCTCTTCCCTTTCCGCCTCTCCCGCTTCTCCTCAGCCCTCTCGGACAGTGGGTGGGGGCTCTCATCATGGGCCCATGAGGCTCAGCTGCCTGCCAGGTTTCAGGCCCCAAGGAGATCTGGGTAGGAACTAGGCAGCTGTTTCTCTTGGTTACCCATCCTGCCTTGTGACTCGTTGGTTCCCAGGAGCAGCCCAGGATGAATTGGATCACCTGCTGGCATGCTCACAGAAGGTCACCGATCAGCTAGGGCAGTGACTACTAGGCAAATGCTTTACCCGCGAACTTCCACGTACTGACCCAAACATCATTTACTCATCCCCAAGTTTACTTTAAGGGCTTTTCACTGGACCCCCCAGAATGTCAACTGGAGCCTCAGAATGCGGATTTATTTGGAAACGTCTTTGAAAATGTCATTGGCTACGTCAGACTGAGGCCACGCTAGACTAGGTGGGCCCTTGTCCAGTGACAAGGGACCTCTGGAAAAGAGGACAGATGAACAGGGAGGATGGCTCTGTGACATGTGACAGTGAAGACAGACATTAGAGGGGTAAGTCCATGGGCTTCAAGGACTGCTGGGCACCCCAAAGGCAAGGAGAAGGGCAGGGAATAGTTCCTGCCAGAACCCTTGGAGCATGGTCCCGCGACACCCCGACTTTAGACGTCACGTTCCCTTACCTGTGAGACAAGAGCTGTCGGCGGCTTGAAGTTTGTTTTGAAGATTTGTTACCTGGGGAGCTCGTACGGAGGTCTTTCGGCCTGCCTTTACTGAGCCTTCTCCACGCACAGCACACAGCATACGTCAGAGTCGCAGACCCAGAGGCGTCTCCTCAAATGTCCCCCTTTTCGTGTCTAGGCTCCCCCTAGATAGTGACCCCGGGAGTGCAAGGTCCTCTTCCTGTCCATTTCACCAGTCCCTGCTCTAGGCATGGTGTCCGGGGCATGGGGTCAGGCAGTTACAGGCTGCTGGGTTGCCAGGCTGACCTCTGTCTAAGCTCTGCTTCCTCTGTTCACAAATTCCCTGACTCTGTTCCCTCTGTCCCCTTGGCCTTGAGGTCCAGCCAGTCGCTCTCCCAGTGTGGGGAAAGAGCAGGCCTCCCCCCGAGATGTAGGTCACTGCCTCCTGCTCCAAACTTCTGGCTGATTCAACCACTCTTCACTCCTTCTTTTTTCTTCAAATTGTTTTTGCATCATTTTTCTCTAGAATAGTCACCGCAGCAGGACTCGAGGCCAAGGTAGTCAGTTGAGATGCCTGGTATTTGGTCATGCATTATAGCTGGAGGCTCACCCAGGAAGGAGTCTTGGGGGACTCCACCTGTTTCCCAAACCCCGTGGAAAGTAGTAATTATCCCATTCTGCTCTTGCTTGGGCCTCTACCATTAGGCTGTCAACGTCAGAAGATTTAATCGACCCCCTAAATGTCCAAGAAAACATTTTATAGCCTGTAATAAGCTAACTCATGTCAACTTCCTGATATAACCTGTGGAACAAAGCACACCAGGATGGAGTCTAGCTTGAAAAAAAAAAATGAGCCTCAAGACAGAGGGGCGGTGGGTACAAAAACTCTCATCTCTATATGACGTGTGACTTGTAACAGAGACAACTGTAAACAACCCAAGCGTCCAACTCAGTTAAACAAGTCGTACAGATACAGGATGCAAGTGGTGGCATTCAGTGACATATTACCTGGTCTTCCAAAATATGCAAGTGAGCTAGGTGTGGTAGCACACCCCCCAGCACCCAGGAAGCTGCAGCAGGAGGATGGTGTGTTACAGGCCACCAGAACCACATGGCAAGGCTGTCTCAAGGGGAAAAAAAGTGAATGAAATGTTTGTAATAACTGAAACATTTAGGTTTAAGGTTAGTTCTTAAAGTATGGATACAAATTATGTCAAGAATATAATAAGTTTAGCCAGGTGTAGCATGGCACACGCCGTTAGTCCCAGCACTTAGGAGGCAAAGGCAGGCGGAGCTCTGTGAGCTTGAGGACAGCCTGGGCTACAGAGTGAGTCCCAGGACAGCCAGAGCTGCATAGTGAGACCCTGTCTTAAACAAACAAATAAACAAATAAAAAAGTCTATGATAAGTTAAAAATGTATGTATGCGATGGGTGTGTGGCACATGCCTTTAATCTCGGTGTTGGAAAGGGAGTAGCAGGCAAACCCATCCCAGTGAATTCAAGGCCAACCAGGTCTGTCTATTAAGTTCCAAACTAGCCAGGGCTACATGATGAGACGTTGTCTCAGACAAAAACATCTATAAGCTCTCCTGGGGGAAAGCCCAGAAATCTATCAATGTATTAATACAGGGTGTTATAATTTCTTTTTACTTTTTTAGTTTTTGAGGATTATAATACTATTACACCATTTTCGCCTTGCCTTCCCTCCCTCCAAATCCTCTCCCACACACCTACCAGCTCTGCTTCAAATTCATGGCCTCTTATTTCATTAATGGTTGTTGTATGCATATATGTATATGTATATATACATATATGTTCCTAAATATCACCTGCTTAATCAGTATAATGTTACTTATATGTATGTTTTCAAGGCTGACCATTTTGCACTGGACAACTAATTGGTGTGCTCTTCTCTGGGGAACCCACCTCTCCCATTCCCAGCTTTCCTCAGTGGCCTGTAGTTCTTTGTAAGGTTGAGGCCTCATGGGCTTTTCCCTGTCTACTTTGGTTTGTCTATTTGGTGCCATTCCTGTCCAGCTCAAGTCTGGGCAATCATGCTGGTGAGACTTTATGGGTGTAGCTCCTGACACTACCAGGAGACACAGTCTCACAGCAAACTCCCTGATCCTCTGGCTCTTCAGTCTTTCCTCCCCTTCTTCCACGATGTTCAGAGAGTGTTCTTCAGTGGTAAAACATTAATGATGTTTTTTTTTTTTTCCAAGTTGGGGTTTCTCTGTTTAGCCCTGGCTGTCCTGGAACTCACTCTGCAGACCAGGCTGACCTCAAACTCACAGAGAAGCGCCTGTCTCTGTCTCCAGAGTGCTGGAATTAAAGGTGTGCACCACCACCGCCTGGCTAATGATGTTCATCTTCTCTTAAATATTTTCTCTGACTCCATAAGGAGCATGTATTATCTTTATAATAAGAATATGGTAAGTTTAAATTAATTAATTTTAAGTTGAGATAGGGTCTCTCTAAGCAGCCCAGGCTAGCTTTGGATTCACAATCCTCCTCCTTCTACCTCCCAAATACTGAGATTATAGGTATCATTACCTGGATTAGAAACACTATTGAAGAGATTGAAGGATTAATTGCGGTGCTGGTAATTAAACCCAGATCCTTGTATATACCAGATGAGCACTCTATCCATTGGGATACAGTTTTATGTGTATGGACAACTTTGGGTCTGGCCTGCATTATCAATCTCATGGTCCTTCATGTTGCTCATGGTAGAGATTCAGACCTGGGAAAGCGGTTCTAAATGGTCTATTAAGAGGGCACAAACCAGCTTAATAATAACAGGAAGGCTAAGCAGAAAGCGAATAGGACACCTACCTGATTTCAGCCACCGTCAAGCTGAGCAAGTGGGCACACCTCCCCCTTGGAAGAATGACTCAAACTGCATGGCCACCAGCACCTCTTTGCATGCTAGGATTCGGCTGAGGTTCTTTGGTTTAGGTTTTAAGAGAGTGAGCCCAGCTGTAGGACACAGGTGACAAATCCATGGGCCTGGATGCTTCCTTTCTGATTCTTACCTGGATGCTTCCTTTCCGACTCTTACCGTGGGCCTAGGTAAACTTCCTAGCTTTGGTTTTCTTCTGAGTAAAGCTGGCCAAACAGAACAATTTGAGAATCCTGGGCTTTAAGCCAACCCTGGCCTTCTCTGCCTCCTGTGCACCCAAAGCAGCCCCTGGGTCACGGGGAGACTGTGCCCAGATGTTGGTAAAGTGAGAAGGGAAATGAACTAATCACTATGAAAATGCTTGGCACTTTCAGAGAAAGAGGCCAAGAAACTCAATCCTGGGAGGAGGATGGTGGCCTTTGTGTGGTCCAAATGCCAAATGCCTTCACCCTGGTCCTGGGGCCGGAGCTGTGGGCACGGAACTTCCCTTCCTTACCTTGGCTCTCTCTTCTGCAGAGACATCAGCATACAGCATGCTGCTGCTGGATCCAGCCTTGGGGACACTGGAGTCAATCTCTCTCCTCATCTTTTATAGCATGAGAATCTTGTCTTTGCTCGAAGGTCACAGGTCACAGGCACCACATAGTCAAGAGCATGCAGAGTGGGGTGCAAGGGCCAGCAGGACATATTCCTCCTTGCAGTGGTGTTGTTTATGGACCAGTGGGAGAGGCCAGGCTATGGGGTAGGATCGACCTAGTTCTGAGTTCCTCTCTGAAATGATCATCTCCTTTGGCGTCTCGAGCTGGGTCCTGTTGGAAATGGAGATGGAGTTGGGGTGAAAGGGCCCACCCAACATTAAGGAGGTGGGGTCGGACAGGAGGACACAGCAGACCAGATGTCAGACAGAGTCAGAGAGACAGTCACAGCTCCTGTCCTGTGGGAACTCTGATGCATACACTGCCCACCTGAGGGAGTCCCAGGTTGGACACAGTCTTTGCTTTGTTCAGTCGTTAGCCAAAGGGCCACCTGAAGAAGGGCATGAGGACAGCTCAAGACCAGCCGGGGCTCTCCTTGCAGCTAGCGGGCACGTCGACCCAGTGAAGGCCACCTCAGTGTCTGCCACGGGGAAGTAACATAGAGTCAAGCACACAATGAGGACTCTCAGGTTAATTCCTTCTTTCACTTTGGGCCCAGGAAGACCTGGCTCAGATTCCAATTTAGTGTGTGACTCAGGACAAGAACCATGAAGGAAATCAGCAGACTCCATTTCACTTGATCACCCAGCCTGACCATGACGTAGTAATGAGGGGAGTACACGCTCACCTCTTGTGACCTCAGTCTTCCCCAGTGAGACGAGGAAGTAATAAGCCGTGCTCAGAGTCAGGGGACACACACTGAAAATCTTTTTTGCTCAACACTTAATGAGTTTTAATGAATGTTCCTCTTCCTGCCCGATCTCACTCTAGTATTTTCATGTAGTCCAGAGTAACTTCATTAATGCTCCAAGTCGTATGGAGGTATAACATACGTGGTCGGTGAGTTATGGTAGGGCACCCCAAGAAATTAGGGACTAGAAATTTGAAGAGAAATGTCCTTAGGATGGCTAGGGAGATAGCTCAGTTGGTAAAGTACTTGCTTTGCCAGCACAAGGACCCGAGTTCGAGGCCCAGAACCCACATAAAATATGCCAGGTGTGGCCATATGGGCTTGGAATCCAGCATTTTGGAGATGGAGATAGATGGATCTCTGAGACTCCCTGCCAGCCAACCTAATCTATTTGGTTAGGTAAATGAGAGAACTTGACACCACCCCCCCCCCAAAAAAAAGGATAGATGGATAGACTGAGGAATGACACCAATGTTTATCTCTGACCTTCACACCCATGCATGTCCAAGTGCATGTACACACACACAGAGGAGAGATCCAGACTTTTCTGTCCTGAGCTCAGCTGTCAGTTTCAGTCTGTCTTTCTACCATGGGGAAAGCTTTTAGTATCATCTCATTATCCCAAGTTCTAACAGAGTTCTCCCCTGCCCCCCCCCCCATCAGATTCCTGCCTGGAGCAAACCCAGGGCAACTGCAGCCACAGGAGGCCTTGACAGGCACCGCTAGGAGAAGCCAATGGTAGTCTCCTCTAACCTACCCATAGGCTGCATTGGAGGGCAGAAGAGAAGGAAAAAATATTCCGTATGACTCAGCCAGGTGAAGAGCGAGGCATCACTACAGACACCTAACCCTGGGAAATGAGCAAGGCAAGGAGCCGGGCTCAGAGGGAAAGATGAGAGAGACGGGGAGGGGATAAGGGGAATATCACAGACCTCCTCTCAGAAGTTTGTAGTTCCTGGTCCCAACACTGAAAAACCCAAAGTGAGGTAGGAGAGACCTCTATGGGGAGAGGCAAGCTTCGGTCTCCACCTCAGACTCTCCCTGCTTCCCTGCTTGCTCCCTTTGATTCTCTCTGCAGGGATGATGTCAGGATGAACCCACTAGCCAGATGCCCTCTACTGGGTCTTAACATTTGTAAATAACTCTCTCATCTGTAAGCTCACTGTTCTGGTTATTACCAGAACGGAATGGGTGTCATTACCCCCCATGTCCTCAGATGAGAAAAACAAGGATGAAAGACCGGCTCACCTTGGGTAACAAAGCTAGTGCGGAAGCTCAGATGTCCTAATCAGCCCCTGGAAGACTATCTGCGTTAGGTTGACGCCAACTGTACTCTGGCGTGACCAGGAGTTTTTATTGTCCTTTGTGGATGAGAAGGTGTAATCTAGAGTGTCAACAAAACAACAAAACAAATGAATACCACCACCATCACCACCATCACCACCACCACCTCCACCACCACCACCACCACC